CCTATCTAGAACACTAATTTCTTCTTCCTGTTTACAAAGTATTTACACTGACCTTCTAATCTGATGTTACAAGAGCAGCTTTTTCTCTGCTTTTAAATAGAAAGAACTCATTTTAGAGGCAGCATCTTGTCTTATTGTCCTCTTGCCCACAGAATCCGTTTGTTGTCATTTCCACCCACTACAAATTGCTGCTTACCAGAGTGTCTAAAAATAAGAAACATAAAACCATATTCCCCCACACCCCAAATTAAGCCTTCCAGAAGGACATTATTATGCCCCAGTTCTCTCTATCTGTTGAATTTTTCAGCAACTCAGTCCCAAAACCATTTTCATATTTGGTCACATGTGAGCTGAGCGAAGGTAATCGACACTAATGATTGCCAGCTCCTATTTTTTGGCCTATTGTTTCACTTTGACTGTATTTTCCCTTTCCTTTCTGTTTTTCTCCCATTGTATGTGCAGTTCCACTGAGATGTGTCTTGGTTTCACGGAGTTCCACAACTCAGGAGCTAATCATATCCCAGAGCACTGAGACCGGACGTCCTGTGGTGTTCAGAATTCACATTTGTTGTTCATTCGCACACTTCTGGTTCGGGATCATTTCACTGTGGATCTCATAGTCTGGCAAACACACGCTCATGCAGATACACACACATTCACAACAGATATCTCCGCTTAAATATGCTTGATGCCCAACATTATCACAGGGTTTTCCATACAAAGAAATGACCAGCATTGTCATGCCAGGCCTGTATTATCTTATGCAGAGAATACTAAACAGCATATTATTTCATCCACTGTGTGACAGATGAGCTTTAGCAGAAGAGGCTAATAACAATAAATTAATGTGGAGTGGCTTTGAGGGAGAAAAAATAGGACAAAGGATCTTCAAAATTAGAGATAAATGTTATCGCACATTTTGATCTGGCCTTCCTTGAATTCAGCGTGAGTGCTGTGTTAAGTTTCTGTCACATGGTTGTCCCATATCGAGACAATAAAGTTGACCTGTGGGAAAATATTCAATGGCAATTATTTCAGTTAAATCAAATGGAAATCAAGTTTGAAAAGGAAATAAATTCATGTTTCTACTTCTCTGTATTTTACTTCAGACATTAGAACCTTCATATGTGACTAGTTAGTGATCTGTACAAAGAAAAACATGCAACCTTTGGATTCACCCTTTTCATTCATTTAACCAAGATAGAGATGTCCTCTTATGAGAATTAAACACAGCATGTCATGCGCCGACACAAGGAATGGAAAACTTAGAACTCACTTCACGGCCAGCAGATGACGAGTGGCCTGAGGAAAATAGATGATTGGAAAGGAAGGAGCCACATCACGTCCCAGATTTCACCCTGAGGAGGCCCCCAAAGACCACAGATTTGAAAGTGCAGCTTCCCCCACCCTGGTCTCCACCAACTCTGTGGAAAAGCATCTACTCGAGGGCTGAGCTGGAAGCTGCAATTAATTTAATTGAAATTGCAAACTGTCTCAACAGACTATACGTTCACCACCACATTAACAGCATTTCAACAAAAGGTCATCCTTGGCTTGAAATAGAGTACAGATAATGGTTGACATGAGTCTTTGATGGAGAATAGGTATATATTTATGTAGGAATGCAGTAATCCCATGTACAAGTTATTGTACTTATGTTAATTAATCTAGCCGATCAACAAACACCTACAGAGTGCTCACTGGGTAATAAGTATGCTGAGGAGCTCTGGGGACCCCGAGGTGAGTAGCCTCTTATCTCAAAGGAGCTCAGGATTCAATTTAACAGTACAATGCTTTTGAGGAAAAAAAATATGTTTATAGTAGAGCATACTGAAAAGTAAGAAGAGAGACTAAAAGTATAAAAATATGCCTCATAAAATAAACAAATGTAGATATTTTAAAAATGGATTGGTGGGACAGACTTTGAAGAAAGGGAGAAACACAACATGTTAATATCAGAAAAAATGTTGATGGTTTATTTGAACAGGTAAAGTGTCGACCTTTGTATGAGAGAGTGTGAAAACTCCCCCACCCTCTCTGAATCCCCTCTCTTGGGCATGGAGGCAGGAAGAAAGTCATGGGAGTCACTGAGGTTGGTGCTTCAGAACCAAGCATGGCGAGAGACAAGCAGGGTTGGCCACTCAGACTGGGGCCATAGGGTCCGACCCCAGAGGACCAGATTCTTCAAGTGCAGCACATAATTTCCAAGGTCCCAGGTCTAGGCAAGAAGCAACAATACAGGATACGGTGACCAAGTCAAGGTGGGTAAGGATCTAGAACAAGTGCCAAGTGCTTTTTCTAGAAGATGTAGGATGAGCAAGAGCCAGTAAAGGAAAAACCTGGTTCAAACACACACCAGAAAAGTCTAAGAATTATGGAAAGATGCATTTGAAGAGATGATTAGCTAAACAATTCTTGAAGTCTCCTTTGCATCATTGATCAGTAACTATATCTAATGTATACAAGATACCCTATGCAAGACAATGTCCTTAGTAGTAAGGGATGGGGGTACAGAAACAGAAAACTGGTCTCGTGCTTTTATTTATTTTTATTTTTTTAAGTTTTTATTTAAATTCTAGTTAACATACAATGTAATATTAGTTTCAAATGTATGATATAGTGATTCAACACTTCTGTATAAAACCTGGTGCTCATCCTTAACCCTTGATCCCTATCACCTATTTCACCCATCCCCCCACCCACCTGCCCTCTGGTGACCATCAGATTGTTCTCTGTAGCTAAGGGTCTGTCTCTTGGTTTAGCTCTCTCTCTCTCTTTTTTTTTTCCTTTTGCTCATTTGCTTTGTTTCTTAAGTTCCACACACGAATGAAATCATATGGTATTTGTCTCTGACTTATTTCACTTAGCATAATACTCTAGTTCTATCCACGTCATTGCAAATGGCAAGATTTCATTCTTTGTTATGGCTGAGTAATAGTCCGTTGTATATAGATAGATAGATAGATAGATAGATAGATAGATAGATAGATAGATACCACATCTTCTTTATCCATTCATCACTCAATGGACACTTGGGCTATTTCCATAATTCAAGTCTCCAAAATCTTGAAATCATTTTTCCAGCTTTATTAAGAATCCCTATTTCTTTTCCCATAGAATAAAAAAAGAACATGTGCCCCTATTAAGAAAAAAAAATAAAGGACTTTTTGCAATTTTTCTAATAAGGTAATTTTTGCAGATCAGATGTCTAAAAGAGGTGAATAGTATTACCCAGGGAGCTTTGGCTGAAGTGGAGCCCTTTGTGGACTTCTTTTCTCCCAGTGATTAAACTGAAAAGTATGAGCTAAGCCAAATGTGCAGATCTGGAATTCACTAAATTACTTCCTCTGACTTCCTTATTTTTCAGTCAGTAATAATTTGATTATAAATTGAACTCAATGGAGCAACATACAAATACATATTCTGAACAGATTTTTAACTACCAAAATATGTTTTCACCTGAAAAGCAGAATGTGTGTGTCTAATTATGCATATGTATTTATTCTAACTTGCTTGATTAACAAAACAAAATGAAGAAGTCAAATAAACTTTCTTGGTTCTAGTGGGAAACACATTTCAAACTCCAGAGAGGGAGAAGGAAAGAACCCAATTGTGATTAATAATGCTCATTACTGAGCTGCTCTCTGACCAGCACACACCTCAGAAGGTCTTATTATTATTCTCCTTCTCTACGAAATGAGAGCAAAGTAAGAGAGTGAAATATGGAAAAAGCAAATCGTTTGGTACATGTCTAAAGTTGGCTAAAACTTTATTGTTTAGGTAACTTCGGTGCTCTCCTCTGGGCTTGCAGTACATACCTAGGAGCAGACATACAGTAACTGAATTGTTTCAACTTATCCAAACAGCATTGAAATGGACCTAATTGTTGCAAGAAAGGAAAACCCCATGTGTCTCCAGAGACTATTAGTGTCATTTAAAGGGCTAAATGTATCATAAAACCTGTCTTTAACAGAATAAAATTGTACAGACCAACACAATTTTGGCTAATGTTTTCCACATTTCTTGAAATAAAGAAAAAACGGGAGGAAAGAGAGAGAGAGAGAAAGAAAGAAAGAAAGAAAGAAAGAAAGAAAGAAAGAAAGAAAGAAAGAAAGAAAGAAAGAAAGAAAGAAAGAAAGAAAGAAGAAAAAGACCCGCTTGGCTGTAAAGCAGGTCTATCGGGTCACTAAATTATCAGGAATATTTTTTGTGTAGACCATCAAATATCTTTTCAAAAATTAAAACGATTTTGTAGCAAGGTACTTGCAAGGTAGATTTGCATAAAGTATTCCAATTCTACAAGATAAATGTTATGTTTCTTTCTATTATATTTCTTTCATAATGTGGATTTGAACAAAAATGAAACCTAACTTACACAAGGAATGGATTCAAACTTCTTCCATTTGATGCCTTCACAATGGATGTGAACTTTGTAGCTGGTTTCACTGACACTTTATTTTCATTTTATTTTTTTGTTCTGGGGAAATACTTCCCCATGGTATTTTCTTATTGTTACATATGTTGTACCTGCTGAACGTGTGCTCCGCTCCCTTTTGAGTAAAGTAAATAATGGTAGAGCTTTTCCCAAACAGAAAAAGGTAGAGAGAAAGGTTTAAGCATTGCTTTTATTCCATCAAAGAGACAAAAGGATATTTCTTTCCTCTAAAGAAGTTCAGAGTATAATGGGGAAAAATCAAGAACAGAGACAAATAGTGAATCAAACCTCAATTGAAAGAACAAATCTTTCTATTTATCTGTCTCATCTTTTCACCGGGGTTGTATATCAACTATCAAGAAAGCTATTTCAAATAAGTTCTGCTAACATAATTGTTATTTTATAAGTTTAGTTGCTATGGTAATGCATGATGTAATCGTCTATTACCATCACAATCCGTTCCTTTTTCATACCTTGCCAGCATATTATTCCCCTTTTCTCCCTTAGTCCTCTATGATGCAGGAAGAAAAACAAAACAAAATAAAACGATGTATATATTGTTTTATTATTCTGCAAACCCTCTGAATCAGGATGTAGTTATCCATGTGTAGGAGCTTTCCCTGGAACAGCGAAGTTTTAGATTTCCATGCACTGCTGCCATTATCCCGCGACCCTCATCAAGCGACGCGTGAATGGAAACAATTGTAATTTCTTCATTGTTCGCTGTTGAAATGAACGTGCAACGTGCACGTTTCCAGAAGATAGGGACCACATGGCAAATCGTTGACTGAGGGATGCTGGCGCTGAGGGAGACAGGTTGGTTGGGGGCACAGTTTTGCCATCCACCAGAAGAGGAGCCTGGCCAAAATGAAAACAAAGCTTTGGTAATCCATTGTTCTCAGCGAAGGGCTGCCCTCGAGCTGAAAATCTAGAAATGTCATGAAATCGTGTCATACCGGGAGTGTTAAGAGACAAGGAAACCAGTAGGGAACGTGTGTGGTAAGGAGGGTTGTGGTGATGCATTTCACAACGGGATTTTGCTGTGTCCCCAAGGTCACTTTGACCTTCTGGGAATGACCTCAGAGGGCTGCACAGCATGACCAGCACTGCGCACCCCAGGCATCCAGGGAGAAGGGCTCTGGATGTGTGCCCTCAGAGGACACCCACACTTGGCCATTGGTAGCCAGAGAGGGCCATCTGCAGCTGGTAGAATTGGACTTGCCTCCTTCTGCAGGTGGTTCTTCACCTATATCCACCTTCCTACACCCTGGAGGGGTGGTCCTTAATCCCACACTGCTCTCTCCTGTCCCCGTCTGCGTCTTCATTCCGGTGCCCCGTGCTGGGCAGATGTTGGGGGTCTGTCACTGCCCATCTCCGCTATGCTCTTCCTTAAACCCATGGATCTCCTGCTTTTCTCCCCCACCCTTTAAAAATCCTAACTTATCTCCCCACCTTCATCCCAGAAGCCAGTAAGAGGTTTTGATCCTTTCCCAGGGCTGTATTTCTGTACTCTGAGCACTGTTTTGCTTGTGCTTCTTTGTATTTTTTTGTCATTCTGTTATTTTCTAGTGTGAGAGGATAACTTCTCTTTCTCTCCCTTGCCAGAGTCTAAGCCTCTTGAAGTCAGGGACTGTCTCTTACTCACAGTGGTACCTCCCAGTGTTTGGGACTGGTAGGCAGCTCTTCATTGATGAAAAAAGGACTCGAATTCAAATCCCAGTCCTACAGGGTGCATGCGCATTTAAAACAAGTTCTCCCCTACACTGACAGATTGTACGTGATGCTGTGTTCTTTTACCCATAGTGACATGGGAGTGTCTCGAACACCAACCCCTGAACCCGGCCATCATTGTTTGATTTTGTTTGCTATTATCTAGGGAACAGATGTTTTTTGAATTGTAGAATTTAAATATATGCTGGCCCTGAATGAAACCACTCTCTGCCAGTTTAGGAAAAGCCCCAAATTCCACTATTCCCTACACTGTCGTATATTTTCCTTGATATATATCATAGAAAAGATTTCTGAAAGCTTCTGAAAAACACATAATAAATTTGGTGCTTCTCCTTTCTTATGGTTTTGTGTTATATTTAGAAATATGATAGTTCTGCTTTATTTTTATATCCCCACAAGTGTGGTGTGTAAGTAGTATTTCCTGAATGCAAGGACAAGGAGAGGAAGTGATAAAAGGAGGAGGAAGGAAAGTAGCAAAAAGGAAGGAGGGAGGGAGGTGGGGGAGGGAGGAGTCAGGGAGGAGAAACCCCGCATCACTTCTTGTTTTCTTTACATAGTACCTCCTCTGGGTTTCAAGACCCAGTGGATATTCTCGTATTCTGAGTTTCTGTACAACTATTAGTGTTGTGACGAAGTTACAAGGTAAGTTCCTAAAAAGAAAACTCAAAGGATTCATATTTTAAAATGAAACCATTATAATTATGGCCCCACACTACTATGGGCAGCTATCATAACTTTCCTTTCCAACTCATTGATTTTCAGGCATTTTAGGGCTAGTTATGCACAGAAGTGCATTTGCAATTCACAGACGCCCAACCTGTGCTCCTTCAGTCATTCTCATTGTGATACGTGCTTCACAAATGGTATTTGGTGGCGCCCTTCTTTCTAATTGCTTTAAATTAAAAAGCAATTAGATGCTTGCTAATTTCAGATGAGATTCTCTGGGTCAGGCCTGAGATGGCCACAGAATCATTAGGAAATGTGCATTACAGATCTCCTCCCAATACCAACTGGACCTCCAGAGAGCAGAAGGTCGGGGGCTGGTCCTGCAGGCGGCAGCTGTCTTTCCGATTGGCAAGATGATGCAAAAGCTTGTTTGTGTTGGACGGCTCGGATGATGCCATCAGTCTTCTCACTGTCATTCTGAAATGAATCAAGGCATCGCCGGGACTCCAAAGCTATCACTTTGCATCCCCAGTGCACGGTGGCTGGCAGGCAGCAAAGCTCCATGTTTAATACTTGGCCTCACCACACTTTCTTTGTAAAACACTTCACAGTGCACAAGGGGCTTTCCTCAGTTTACAAAAGGGTTTCGTTTTTCCTTCTGAGTTTGAGCTTGATAAAAACCACATTTTGAGGTGTTTGTTTCTCCACCCATTTCCCAGATGAGGAAAGGAAAGAGCTTTGGAGACTTGGCCAAAGTCTTTTGGCCAATCCCAGGGCTAGGACCATAAGTGAAGGTCCTCAGACTCCAAGACTGCTTTTTTTTTTTTTTTAATATACCTTATAATTCAATACAAATGGAGTTATCTGTCTTTACAGATTAAGTGATGCATATGCAAGAGATCCACCTCCTCAATAACATCTGTGGTTCTACAGTAATTTTGTCCCTAATTCTAGAACCATGACCTGAAGAAAATGGTGTTTGTTGGTATTTTAGTTGATTCAGACAATGACTGGCTGTTCCTTCTGCCTTACCTCCCTGAGACCTTAAAGAACATATGAATAATTTCAGCTGTGGTTGGATTTTGTGAGCACGTGGGTGGCACTCATCTCAATCACAGGCAAGCTCCTTGAAGGATGGGACTTGCTGGAATTGCTCATCTCTCCGGATCTGGACTGAGAAGTGTTACTTTTATTTCCTTTCTACCAGTTTATATGCAGGAGTGTCATTTAGTGAGTTGATGTCATGAGCAGCTCTTTCATTCAAATGGCATATGGAGGAATTACCCACAACAAACCAGCGCACTGGGGTAGATGAGTCACCCAAAACAATTTCCTTATTCCAAGAAAATTTTGCAAGCTTGTCAAGGCAAATTTTCCCTCTCTTTGCAGAATGTGCAATGAAACAACATGCGTTGGTTTGCTTTTAGCTAGATCTCTATGAATTGGCACGTTAATATCATACCAATTAAGGGCGCCTGGGTGGCTCAGTCGGTTAGACATCTGCCTTCGGCTCAGGTATGATCCCAGAGTCCTGGGATCGAGCCCCACATCAGGCTCCCCACTCAGCGGAAAGCCTGCTTCTCCCTCTCCCACTCCCCCTGCTTGTGTTCCCTCTCTCGCTGTGTCTCTCTCTGTCAAATAAATAAAATCTTAAAAAAAAAAATCATACCAATTAAGGAATGAGACAGGAAAAAAGTTAAAATATTCATCTTGCAAAAATTAAAAGTTAATGGTCGAAAAGACTGCTGATATTTGGGAGTGCATTGGAATCTTAAGATTAAATGTTAAAAATTTTTAATAATTTTCTTTCCACCTCCACCAATATTTATTTTGACTTTAAAAAAATTAAAACACATTTTCTTAGTCGTAAAATTGCACTTTGAGGAAAAACTGGAAATATGCAAAAATATAAATATATCAATAAAAAGCTTCTATAATATGAGCTTGCTAAAATATTCCTATATTTCTTTGAGTCTTTTCTTCGTTTCATTTTTTAACATGAGCTTTTCTTATCCTGATTAACATACCATAAGTATATTCCATTGTATCAGTGGTCAAAGATTATGTAACTAATGCTTATTTATGGACATTTAGGTTATTTTTGCATTTTTGTCATGATCAATATAACCACAAAAATATGCATCATTTGTATATTATGTATTTATATAAAACAGAAGTATTTTACGTTTATAAAATGTGTGTATGTAAATATATAAAATATAAGTATTTATATAAATATATGAATATACATTTATAAAAATATTTAATGTATTTATAAAATAATTTTCCCACCTGTTATTGCTTGAGAAGGCACAATTAAATTTTATTTATGACATTTATGGAATATAAAAGTTTTATATTCTTTTTTGTAATCCAATTTAGTAATATTTTGTAATTTCTTTCATAAATTTTATGCATGGAAATTTATTTTCTAATCAGAGATCATGTAGTTATTTTTGTATGTATTTTCTTCCCTATTTTGGGTTTTTTTCCTCACCTAATAATTTGATCTACTCAGAATTTATTCTGGTGTCTATGAGGGGGAGCTATTTCCGTACTTTTCCCTCAACTTGCTAATCATTTGCCAAATAATACCTCTTTTGTCCTTGTTTTGCATTGAAGTTTTTGTCAAATACAAAGTTCTCATATATACCGGGTTCTATTTTGGGGCTATCTCTTATTTTCACTGTTGTGGCTCATTTTGTTTTTCAATTTCATTCTGATCAATAACTTTTAAGGAGTGAGACCATTTGCTAGAATTAAAGACTATAAAAAAAAGCTTAGAGCTGGGGAAACAAAACCCAAATCAATACACATGAATAGATGCCACCGGGTGAGAAAGTTGCCACCTTGGTGGGTGCTGGTGGACAAAGACCACAACTGACCACACAGAGCAGTCTGGCAGAGCCCAAAGGATCAGCAGGAGAGGATCACGCAGGTGGACAACGGGAGAGCCCTTTGGCCGGAGTTCATGGAGGCAAGATGGAGAAACTGGGGATTCCCGCAGAGTTCAGTGCTGAGGTTCGGGAAAACATCAGCGGGGCTTGGCCGCCATGCCAGGGAATGCACATGGAGCTGTCTCCACAGACAATGGCAGATGTTTCCTCACACAGCGTCATCTTAAGTTTCAGATACTTCGAGAACAGACTGGCACGTAAGAGGTAACATGCATTTATGTAAAGTCATGGTTTTCATTGCTTTCCCTTCTTGGCCTCTACAGAGCATCCTCTACCCTATCGTCTGTGAGTGAGGGGTTTCCACTGAAGTGATGTCTCAGTGGGAGCTAAGTCACACCGCTTCTTGTTTATTTTTCTGATACTTTCTACTTTGTAGGAATGTTCTCACTCCCCAAAATGTCTCTGGGAGTATCTTACCCAATGAGGGAAGATTTGAAAAATTCTAAGCTTCAGTATTTTTTTTTTCCATCTGCATTTCTAGCCCTCAAGGTCACACTGCTGGAC